TTTAATATTTGACAAACAATATAATTACCTACATAAAGTAATAAAATCTTAGCATAGAACCTGGGACATAGCAGCTGTTCAGTAAATACTTTTCTATAAATACCTAACAAATATAGCAGAACCTCTATAAGCTGACCACCCAAGGAACTGAAACAAACTGGTCAACATAACATGAGGCCTACTGTGCTGATACATGTATGTGGCGCATGTCTGTCTATGAAAATTAGGTCAACTTAAGGAGGTGGTCAGTGTAGGGAGGTATTCAACTACAAAGGTTCTACTGTGTGCATATATTATAAAAAATATATATATGTTGGTGGCGCCTATTGCTCAGTGAATCCGGGCGTCGGGTGTTGTGGCGGGCGCCTATAATCACAGCTACTCAGGAGGCTGAGGCAAGAGAAGCAGCTAAGCCTAAGAGCTGGAGGTTGCTGTGAGCTGTGACACCACTGCACTCTATGGAGGGTGACAAAGTGAGACTCTGTCTCAAAAAAAAAAAATTCTCTACACATATATAGAATTTATATAGATATATATATACACATAAAATATAGGGAGAGTCCTAAATGTTATGGCTATGAAAAACTCAATTGTAGGCTGGGTGCAGTGGCTCACACCTGTAATCCCAGAACTTTGGGAGGCCTAGATAGGAGAATCACTTGAGCCCAGGAGATCAAGACAAGCCTGGGCAACAGAGCAAGACCCCATCACTATAAAAAAAAAAAAATCGAGTCGCTTAGAAGCAGGAAGAGATGGTTTACATCTGGAATGGACAAGTGCTAGACACCGAGAGTCACTCTCTATGACAATTATCTTCGATAACAGATTTCTTCTGGGGAATAGTTGAGCTTATGGGTTTGTTTATCAAAACTCTGCCTCTGCTTGGCAGCGCCTGTGTCTCAGTGGGTAGGCGCTGGCCCCATATACTGAGGGTGGCGGGTCCAAACCCGGTCCCGGCCAAACTGCAACAAAAAAATAGCCAGGAGTTGTGGCGGGCACCTGTAGTCCCAGCTACTCGGGAGGCGAAGGGAAGGGAATCGTCTAAGCCCAGGAGTTGGAGCTATGACGCCACGGCACTCTACCAAGGGCAATAAAGTGAGATTCTGTCTCTTAAAAAAAAAAAAAAAAAAAAAACAACTCTGCTTCAGCAAGATGTTAAGAAAAGAAGAAGCTATCAAAACTCATCTGATTCCAGAATTGATAATAGAAGAGGACCACCAGGAAATCCTCCCCAGAGAATCAATCATCTGCATGGCCCCAATCTTCCAATGGCTGGTGGATGAGGAAGGTAAATGCCTGCTCTAAGAAACAGACAAATGGACAGGCACACTTATAGCAGAAGGAAACCATCAAGAAGTAGAGGGCTGACCACAGTGGACAAGTGGATGAATGTGTGCGTCTACACAAGGACTGCTGTGTCTTCACAGATGAATGACGTCATACTGGGAGTTCTCTCTGCAGGGAACAGGCCTGACTGACATGTAGTTCTATAAATGCACTTTTGGTCTCATCTTTTTTATATTGTTTATTAAAGTATTAATGGTTTTAATAAGTAAATGTTTTTAGGTTGCAAAACTAATTGTTCATTTTTATATAATTAAATCACAAACTCTGAAGAAATATAAAGGTATGTACTCAGGTCTCTTAGTGTCATCTTTTTCAATTTCCGAAATATTGCTCATTGTCACTGTGTTCTCCTTTATAAATAAATCACATTGTGGCTCCGCGCCCCTAGCTCAGTGAGTAGGGCGCCAGGTGGATTCAAGCCTGGAGCGGACTAAACAACAATGACAACTGCAACCAAAAAAAAGCCGGGCAGCTAGCTACTCAGGAGGCTGAGGCAAGTGAATCACTTAAGCCCAAGAGTTTGAGGTTACTGTGAGCTGTTGACACCACTGCACTCTACCAAGGGCGACAAAGTGAGACTGTACCTCAAAAAAAAAAGAAGAAAAAAATAAAGAAAACAAATATTTACTGAACAGTACACTACTACCTACCAACACTAATCTAAACACTGGCACAGAAGGATGACCAAGATATACTTACTGGGAAGGGACGTAGACAGTAAATAATCGTGAAATAATATGATAAAATACTACAAATAAAATAAGGTTATTAGCAAATAAGGGGAAGGCATAAGGGAGTGAGGTGCTTAGAGAAAAAAGAGCTAGGATGACCATAAGCTATGATTCCCTTAGAGTCCCAATTTACACCTCTTGTCCAGTCCAATAGAATTATTAATTATGCTCTACTTATTCTTAAAGTTGTCACAGTTTGGGTAATAAATTTTTTTTTTTTTTTGGCCTGGGCTGGGTTTGAACCAGCCACCTCTGGCATATGGGATCAGTGCCCTACCCTTTTGAGCCACAGGCACTGCCCTTGGGTAATAAATTATATTCTAAGGTGGCTTTTGTGTAGAAGCTTGAGAGATAAGAAGGAAGAGCTCCATGTTTCAAAACAGATACACCTCTCCTCACCTAAAAGAGACAAGAGAAGAGCATTCTGGGAAGAGGTACTACAGAGGTCAAGGAAAAAGCAAATTGGCAAAGCCAAGAAGGCTAAAGGAGTGAGGAAAAGAGGGACATAGGTGAGCCCTAAAAACAGAAGATGATAGCACACAGACTTTTGAAAACTGTCTTTTCAGAAATTGAAATTCCTGCTCTCATTTCCTTCTCTTTTTTTTTTTTTTTTTTTTTTT